AGAACCAGGCTACCTTTGGCTCTCTGCTTCTACATGCTTGCTGAAGATCTCCTAATTCCTCAGACCTTCTCAACGTCACTTATTCTGTCTTTGTTCTGGCTCTCCAGGAAAATCCTCATGCCCAAAGCATTGCACTCTACTTCTTCAGACTGAGATAGAAATTCTCACTCCAAACTTTTGACGTTGCAAGAAATATAATGAATCCAATAGAAAGAAATGTCCTTCTGCCTTATTCACACTATTCTCTTTCCAGATTAGGAGTAAAGCCTTCAGAGAAGGTTTTTCTTCAGAAACTTGCAACCTATTTTTTGCTGCCAGTCCACTCCTTTCCACCTTTGCCATTATACAGTTAGGAAAGTTCATTCTTTGGCCTGAAGCCTGAGCCTTTGTTCATCTCTCTCCTACTTCTTGTCTCATCTGTCTTCTTGACTCACCCTATTTTCATGGCTTTTAAAAAGTGTTTAATACTGTGCTCCCTTCAGATTGCCCCAGGAGGGTGGTTCTCCCTTCTCAGGCAATCCTTGGGAAACTCGCTGCCCAGCTCAGCACATTCTTGAAGTGTTAGCAACATCTCTGCTTGTCCTGTAGTTTCTCTCAAACAGAAGCTGTCAGAGGACAGTGTCCTCATCACATTTACTTGGGGTGTGAAATGGAGGGTAAAGAGCGAGGATGTAGCTTGCTGCAAAAGGAGCTGCTAGCTGATGTGGAGGTGAGGCACAGGGCCTCAGCAGGATCAGCTTTTGTACACAGCATGTTTTCACTGCTGGCTGCCGTAGGCTCTGCAGCAGTTAGCATACTCAGCCTTCCAAGCAGCATCCATCCCGTGTGCCCAGTCCTGAGACCCCAGCTGCCCACGGCTGCTCTTGCAGCCAAGCTCTGCACCCTGGTGAATCGTACTTAGTCCAGGGAGCGACTTCCTGAAGGCATAGGGTCACCAGCACCTGCACAGGAGCTGCATGTCTTGGGGATGGGCTGAGCTCCAGATTTTCACAGGATGTGTGGAACAGCTGCTCCAGATGACTCAGAAGAAAAAAAAAAAAGTGGCAGCAGATAAGGCTGCTCCAAAGTGCTTGTTTCTCATGCATTCGTGCACTTAGAACCACACCTCAGATTTGTCATTTAAGAGCTACTGCCAGCACATTCTGCAGCTGACTGGTGCCGGCTGTTGTGGGAGCGCTTGAGCTCTACTGGAGCCCCTCCTTTTGTTGCTCAAAGAGGCTGTTGCCTGTTCCACCCACCCGCATGCAGACCATGTTCCAACAGGGATGAGGTGGAATGAAAATGTGCTCAGCTATCAGCAAGGAACTGGTGGTTATTGTGGTTCACAGCCTATATGCTTCCAGTAGGGCTTTAATTAATTTCGGGAACATGAATGAAAAATGCATCCAGGGGGTTTTTCACGAGGTACAAGTGCCTCCTGATTTTGTTGATTTTTTTTAACCTGTTGTACAGATTCCATAAATATGTGGTTGTTCCCTGTATGGACAAAAAGAAAGTACTTGATGGAGGATGGCTTCTTAGTGCACATGCCTCAGTTATGCAGATAGTCATGAATCAGTTGCAGTCTTTATTGGATAAATAATATACTGTTACTGAAATTGGTTTGGTGAAACAAAACTTTTTAAATGGTTAATAGAAAGATACTACAGGTTTTTGTATTAAAAAAAAAGATATTAAAAGGAAGAATGACCATGACTTACTTTAGTCGGTGGTGTTATTATAGGAATGAGAGCCTTCATTCCTGGAAGTGCTAGGGTGTTTTTTGTTGGCTGAATGTTGCCCATCATAGTAGTCTGTTTATCATCTGAAGTGCTCTGTGAAAATGGAATTCATGTTTCTAGCCAAAAACATATTAATTTTTACTTTGCATTGCTGTTGTATAACAGATGATTGTGAACTGAAATCCTCAGTGTTCCAATGTGATTCAGTGGCTCATAAAACCGAATAACATTTTTCCTTCAGATCATGCTTTGATTCTATCTGGGGATGAATAAAACTGTTGAATTAAAGAATACAAATATTTGAATTGTGAAAATCTGTTGGGATTTTTAAATATATTCTTAAAATTCATTTGTCTGAGGCTTGTCTTATAGTAGGAAGTATCAGAAATCTCACAGAAGAACAATGTGCAATTCCTGAAATTTTTATGGAAAAGCAACAGTTTGATGAACATCAAAATAGGAAATACAGCCTGCAAGTTGTCTGAGATTTCAACTACTGTGTGTTTTAATTGGAAGAAACATAAAGTATCTCTCTGACAAACTGTTATTTCCTCATGGGTTTGGCATCAATGGGAACTTGGTTGCTTTGGAAATATCTTATAGGGCTTATTGAGAGATAAGATGTCTAGTTCATTGAGTGTCTGTCCCTATTACTTGTGTGACAGACACACACTCAAAAGACATGGGTCCAGTTTTGGAGAATTCACACTAGGGGCCTCTTTGATTTCAGCCAGTATGATCCATCATACTTTTGGAAGTTCTAGCATGGGCCCTCAGCTGCTTCTATACCTATACTGGAAGTAGGATAAAACCATGGACTCTGTTAATTAGGTCTTGGTGATAGACATTTGCACCAAATCCCCTCAGTCTTATCTCAGTCTGATTCCTTTTAAGAACCAAGGCTTGTCACAGCACACTGCTTGGAGTAGATTAAATCTTCCTGAGTTAGGATCTTAATCACGTGTCAAGGCATTTGAGAGATCTGGAGAGACACACAAGGTTCTGGAGCTGCATGGGCTCCTAAAGGATGTCTGAAGCAAAGAATAGGCAGTATTCCAAGCAGGTGCTCACAGGATGTGACAAAGGAGGCAGCCACAAGCCAGTTTGGTGCTCAGGTTAAGAGTTTTCATTCCAGACAATCTCTATTTATTCAAGCATAATAGAAAAACTCCATTACTGGATCTTAACTATTCAGCTGTGGTGTATTTTTAGGTTAATATACACTTTACTGTGGTTGAAAGCAGGAAACTCAGAACACTTCTATCTTATAAGTACACAAAAGTGTATTATGTATACAAAGAATATACAATTTTGAAAGGGCTCTTAGGCCTGCTTGTAACGTTTACCTAAAGAGTATTGCCATTCTCAGTGTATTAATAATATTTGCCTGAAAAAGAGATGCCATCCCTTGGATTTTCTTCTCTGCGAAGCTGCATTTTTTGCTCTGCATATCTAGTAGCACAAAGCCTGTTTTTCTACAAGTTGCTCTGTTTTCAAAGATAATAGGTAGATGTTCGAGTTCCAGCTTTTCTCCCCAGTATTACGTGTGTGGCTCTATTTGCATTCTCTCAGCTTATGTTTTCTCAGATGCAGAAAATTATGTAATTAGTTGTGGGGTCTCATAGCATCATTTCAGAGATGTTTCCCATTTAAATTAAAGGCCTGTTCTTCTACCCAATCAGTAATTGTCTAGATCTTTTAAGATCTCCTTCAGCTTGATTTAATTGTTAAACATTAATTTAGTGGGAAAAAGGCTTCAAAGGGGAAAAAAAGAACTGCTGGAGGGGCAAAATATTAATAGGTGCTTAAAAGAAAAACTGTAATTCTTCCCTTTCTAAGCTTGCAGCCCTTTAGGCCTAGTAGAAAAGAAACAGTTGACTGTATTACAGGATTATATTGGTTTCATTGACTTAAAATGAACTGAAAGCAGCTGTAGGGAGATTTACCTCTAGTCTTTATTATTAGCCATATGAGGCAGAAAGAAAAACAATGTTTTGTTTGAATCAGAAAATACAATTTTCAATGGTGGTTTAGAAGAGGTTATCTAAAGAGTGCATTACTTTTCAATAGGGAAAAAGGTGAGTAGAAAAATTCTGTTTTGCCAGCATTATATTCCATAGAAAAGATTTCAGCCAAGAGGGGAAAAAAAAAAAAAAAAAAAAAAAAAAAAAAAAAGCTGTCTTTCACTTGTAGGATCTTTGTTTTCTTTTATTTATGATGGATATTCTTTGAGTATGGTTTACTTGATGTCTCTTTTACTTACTAATGACAGTAATACTTCACTTCTTTGGATACTTCTACCATGCAAATGTAACGAAGATCAAAAAAGTGCTGCTTTTTAATGAAGAAAATTCTTCAAAAGTCTGCATCAGCATGGGTTTCCCTTTAAGATTTCTACTCTCAGCTGTTAAAAAACCTGATTGAGAAAGAATTGTTTTGTTTTTTTTTTTAATGAAAAATGTTTGGAATACAAATTTAGAATCTCTTACAGATACAGAATATTTTCTTATACTGAAGCTCTTAAAATATTTGGCATCATTTTAGGTGTCAAAGACTTTGTTGGAAACCATACATATCATTAAAATATTTCAGGTTTCTAAACTATGTTTAATTATCTATGTAAATCAGTTCCTTCTCAAAGGAGGGTCTTCAGAGAGAGATGTGGTTATTACTATCTGCAGCTTTTTAGCTTTGGAAAATATACTGTTGCATTCTTATATTCTGTGTATGCAGCTGTGCACTTTGAGAGTTCTCTTACACTTCATATTGACTTCATATTTTTATATAATTTTTCATAAATTTTCTGCTGGGAAAGTGACTTTTTGAGATACCGTAATTGGTGACTTTAGAACCTGCAGCAGTGTCCTCTTAATTAGCAATTTTGATTTTCTCATGATTACATTCATGATGTTATACACTTATTGAACGGTCAATCATTTTTTTCCTTTTTTTTTTCTTACAACATTAACTAACAGATCATCTTTCTATGGATGTGTAGCACTTCTTGCAAGCTACAAGTTGGTGGACCTCATTTCTTGATCTAAAACTAGAGTAAATTTACCTTGTGAAATAAAAGCATTTTAATTTTTTTTACAACTTTTTTTTTTCACCCCAAATATCAGCCTGACTTCAGTTAACACGGCAAATATTTTTCAGCCTTGAGAAATTGAATTACTGCTACCGTAGTTGTGCAGAAAAATACTTGCTGTTTATACTCTGCTTTAATGTGTAGGTTGAGACTTGTGCAGGTTTAGTATCTTCTCTTTTCATTTTTTACAGCTGAGGAAATTTTGATTCAGAGAGAGTAAGCAGCTTGCCCCAGCTCTCCAGGTAAGCCAGTGACAGAATCAGTGCTGAACTCTGAATTCCTCTCCCATTTCTCACACTACGTAGATCAATGGCTGGGAAGGTGACCATTGTTCTGACATTGAGAGGATAGTTTCTTCTTGTACTCCCACGCCCAGTTTACTTCCCCAGCAAGAAATCCTGGTATTCTTTACCTCTACAGTTTCCAGGAATGTTTTCATCCCCTAGGATAGCAGCAGAAAGTTTTATTTTCAGTATTACCCCCTAATATGCCCAGGTACCTGCCCCTATATGTAGGAAGAGAATGGTTTTATTCGGCTCTATGTGTTTCGTGCTCAAAAGTATTCATTTTTTATTGAAACTTCCAAAAGATATGAATTAAATGAAGGTATTTGATATATTTGCTGTAGACATGCTGTCAGATTTGATAAACACTATCTCAAATATTAGCGGAGGTGGGAAGTGGAGGGTGGGTAAGAGTGACCTGAAACAGATCTGAGTCATTTGCACAACTACATGTATAATTAGTTGGTATGTGCATGCAATTACAGTGCTGTAATTGCACATGTGAAGTACTTTTAGTTATGTGTTGCTAGTCTGTTAATCTGCTGGCAAGAACATAAATATTGAACAAAATTAATCATGTATACAAAGAAATTTTGTTTCATTCACATACTCAAAAAAGGGAAGGTAACCTGTATATTTGTGAATTTCTCTTGGTGCTTGGGACAAAGTTGTTGTTACTTGTAAGTCATGAGCAATCTTTGTTCTTGGAAGTGACTTCCAATTATCTGTGTATAGGATGTGCAGGATATTCTGCTTCCTTGCACGGTGTTTTCTGTTCAGAATTGTGAGGGACTTATGCTCATTCCAGACATTGGTTGTGAACAACAGGAGGTACAAATTAGTGAAAATTATCATATCTACCAGGCATTTCAGGGCAGTAGCATAGAATAAGGAGAGGCACATTTCCCTAAATGAATACATGTTCATTCGGTAGGTTATTTCACTTAAACAGCATTAAATGTAATCCTCTTTGAATCTCAGTGGCCTCCTCCTACTCTTTTTCTGTCAGTCTTCATCTCCTGCAAAAGCGTGAATTCAGCTTTCAAAAGAATGGTAGTTGAGCTAAATCACTGTGGAGTTTTCTTTAAGGAATACTAGAGGGATTCTATAGAGCTTGCATGAAATAGCTCAAGGTCAGTTGCTCCTTATACTTTACATCATAATTAAAGTATTCACATTTAGTTTGGTCTCTACTAATTCAAATTTTCTTTTCTCTTTTTTAAATCCTTTCTCTTCTTTTTTTCCCCTTGTTTCTCTTTTACTTATTTTCCTTTTAAGATGGAAAAGCATTTGTCTCAGTAATATAACATCATCATTTCTTTTTATGCTAATTTGATTTTCAGACAAGCCAAATCACACTGCTGGACCTTGTAATTTGCTGCACACCAGCTTTGCAGAATATAATGGAGTGGGACAGTATTCTTTTTGATGTGGTTAATCTCTGTTATACTTGTGCCTCTCCTGAAAACTGCACTGTGTCAGAGAGTTTTTTGTAGCCAATGGTGACAGGAAGATCAACAGAGAGAGGTTGCTCCATTAACCTCTGAAGTAATGAAGTTGCATTTCAGGCAGTCAACACTCACGCTGCCAATTTATTATCATTTAAGAGGAAGTGAAACTACTTCAAGCCACTCTAGTGTCCACATTTTGATAAATACACAGATTGTTAATGTTCTAATGCTAACAATCAGCCTCTAGGGGACCTCTTATGGTGAAGGATGCTGTGGCTGTGTGTCTCCTTATTCTTGCAAAATGAAAATTCTTCCGCACCAAGAAAACATGCTAGGCCTGTTTCTTCCATTTTTTTTTTTTTTTCATACCAAATATTCAGATGTAGCTTTACTGATAGTACCAGCTTTATCTGTCCACCATGGAAATGCTGAAGGTAGATAAATCCTTTGAAAGCTAATTTATGTGAACTTTCAAGGAAATCAAATTCAGATCTCCAGATTCTAGTTCATTCTAGTTTCCCAGCCAATAACACGTTTATAAGGGGATTACTTTCCATCTTCTAAACAGAAATAACCAAAATCTTGGGAACATGTTTAAACCCTGAATTTGTTAAAATATTGCAGGATTGTCTGACCTTGTAAGTTTTTCATGACCAATAGTCAAATCCTGCGAGAATGGCTTTCTGAGGAAGCAATAACACTGGTCTCCCCCGCCTCAGCAGTAAAACAGGCTTGTAAAAGAAAACACTGCAGAATGGGCATGACCATACCCCCATTCTTCCCCAGTTCTGCTCCTAGGCATGGTCTTTGGCACGTATTTTTTCCTGCTAAAGGTAGTGTAATTTACATGTCTGGCTTTCCATAAGTAGTGCAAACACTTTTTATATATAAAAGTCCAGGTGGTTACATAGCCGTATCATACATTCCTGTTCTCCCAGGGTGACATAAATAGTTATTTATCCACAGTATTTTAGAGACACAGAATCAAGGTGGTCAGCTAAGTGCAGCATGTCCCTTCTGGTGCATTGGAGGGTTTCTGGTCTGCTCATGCTTCTGTTGAGGGCCAAGTTTTGCCTACAGATGGGTCTCTGAGTGCTCGCTTCCTGCGACTGTTTTGACACAGCTCCACTGAAGTAATTTGAAAGACTGTCTTCTGCGGGCTTTGGGTGGATCCATTTAGTGCCTTTAATCTGTAAAGAAAAAGCACGCAGTAAAGGAAGGGGAATGTTACCTGCATTTTATAAAAGGATACTGTTTATAAAGGAAATACTCCAACATGGATCCGTGCCCATTGTGTGAGATGACTGCTTTCTACCCTCTCCTGTCAGCAGTCTGAGTTGCATTTCCCTCCCTCGAGCTGTGACCCTTCCTGCTGTGTAGCAGATGCTATGTGTCAGGAAGGCATCTCCGTGCCTGTGATTCTCCTTGTGGGGAGGTGGCTGTGCGGTGTGGGCCCCGTGCAGAGCTCTATCGAGGGCAGGAATGGGGGCTGTGGGCAGGGCAGCTCCTCACCACCAGCTCTGCACCTGGCAGGCAGCAGCCTGAGCCCCGTGTCCATGCTGCAGCAGTGGTGCTGTGCAGCCTGCCAGGCCTTGTTACAGGCTTGGTGCCAGAACGAGGACCGCAGGCATCTCGCACGTGTGCCGCAAAGCTGTGCTGAGAAATGCAGCTTGCAGAGCTTACGGTAGTTTCTCCCCCTCCCTCTCTCCCCAAGCCCCAGTGACTCATTATTCTCTGTCCAGAGACAACAGGTATCTCAGCACTCTCCCTTTTGTATTTAGGCAGGCGGGTTTAGAAAGAGCCCCCCGCCAGGCCCATGCATGGGGTTCTGCAGGGTGCCTGGCGTGACACAGGGGATCGCTTTTTCAGCTGTGCTCAGATGGGAGCGGGGCAGAGCCGTGCTGCCAAGCTGAGTGCAGCTGATGGTCTGGAAGGACGATCAGGGCAGGAGCACAGCCAGACTCACCGCAGAAATACTTCTGGGACGTGGGGGCTGGTGCGGGGGGCTGCCACCTGCAATGCCTGTGGAGCCCTGGAGCACTCATGTCTACCTGTGTGGGGCTCGGGGTTTTGTAAGGACGTGTCGTGGAGGAATCAGAAGGGCTGTCAAGAAATCTGCAGCAGTGCTAAAACTAAAGAAACATGGGCAGCTCTCATGGCCAGGGCTGTTTCAACACTCTCTAACTTTGCCCTCTCACTCCCTTGCTTATTCAACGTGAGTAGCATTCATAAAGCAGCCCAAATGCATTGTGTGTATAGAAGAAGAGAGCTGAGGCACACGTGTGTGTCACTGTAGAACCATTTTATTGGCATCACGGTCAAATTTTCAGGTAGTGGAGAGGTTTCCTTTTAGCATAAAATTAATTTACAGTTATTTTCAAAAACGTGAGATAAGATTAGGCAACACTGAATTTTAATTTGTGAATCCATAGTATGTTATTGCTTTGAGTCTGTCATCTTTTTATGAGATTTAAATAAGCAGTTTACTAATCTTAGCTTCTTCCCTTCTGTGTTTAGCCAAAGTGAACTGTTAAAGAATGTGACATATATTATTTCATTGGCATTGACTCACAACTGAGTCAGTGAACTTCTTTGCACTTACCACTAAAATTGGATTCTAACTTCCAAAAATTTATGACAATTGCTCCTTCTTGTGGCTTGAATGTTGACACATAATTAATTTAGGATTTCTTCTTGAGATTTCCTGTCTACGTTTGTACCTGTCACAAAAATATCCTTGGAAGTTTATCTAACAGCTGGAACACCGCAAGAGTCAATTGAAATTTGGCAAAGAGATTTACTGGGGCCAACGGAAGTGCTCAGAGCAGGATGGCATAAATATGCAAAAAGAGACTTTTTTCCCCCCCAGCAGTTTTAAAGGATTCTATACAGGCTGATAATGGCATAATACTGAAAATGCTGACACTGTGTCAGCTCGTAACAGCAGCACAGAAAAAGGATTCCAAAAGCATGCGCTGACATTTTGTTGAATTATGCACAGAATGGAAATACGTCTGTTGCCTTCCCTCAGCCCCAGCTGCCCTACAAGTTTCAGCTCATTCTTTTGAGAAACCAGATATTTTTCATGGGAATTTCCCACAAACTGGTTTTGAAATCTTTTTTTTCCTCTGCAGGAGTGAAGGAATTCTGAAAATTCAAAATCTAGGTTGCAAAGTCGTAGTGACAGTACTGAGGGACTGGGCAGTAAAACAGCAGATAAAATTTCCTTTAGATATATGTAAAATGAAGCATATGGGACACAAGCAACCCTAACTGTATAGTTAACCTCAAGATGTAAATGAGCTGATACTCTTCAGGAAGGAGATGTTGAAATTGCTCTGCATGGTTCTCCAAAACTTTGCTTTATTTGCAGCAGCAAACAATATTTTAAATATGTAGGAAAGAAATGGGTGTCTAAACACAAAGCCACTGTAAGTCCTGTACCAGATCAAGGTTTGCCCATATCTCTGCTGTTCCATGCATTCTGGTAAGCCACTGACAAAGAAT